TTGTCACAGGAAAAAGTCAGGCGTCTTTGACAGAAGCTTGGTTGGGTGCAAACAGGCACCAAATACTGCCAGCTTATTCGCGAGCCCAACAGAGTCAAACAGTTGGAGTTTAGCGAGAAGTGTCTTCAAGAGAACGAACAGTTCGATAACGTAATATATACGGACAAATGTTCAGTTCTGCTAGAGAACCACACCAAGCTGAGTTTCCATCTCAAGTGGGAACAGCCAAAGTTGAAACCCAAAGACCCAGTGAAAGTCCACGTTTGGGCAGGCATATCGAAGAGGGGGCCTACAGAATTGATGGTGTTCGAAGGTATCATGTACGTGCAGTTTTATGTCTCCGAGATCCTCAGCAATGGGCTGCTACCATTTATCTGTAGAACATTCCCCGATGGTCATCAATTCCAACAAGACAATGACCCGAAGCATACCAACCATCTTGCCAGGAACTTCATGGAAGACAATGGGATCAACTGGTGGAAAACCCCTCCGGAGTCACCAGATCTTAACCCCATCAAAATGCTTTGGCAGGAGCTAAAGCATTTCCTTCAAAACATTGCAAAACCGAGAACAAAGGAAGAGCTAATTAATGGGGTAGAAAGATTTTCGAACCAGAGAGTGGATGCAGAAAAGTGTATGAAGTACATGTATATTGGGCACTTACACAGTCTTGCCAATAGTTGTCGAGCGGCAGGAAAAAGCTTCCGGAAACTAGTTCCTGGCTGCACTCTTCAGACACTGATAAAAACAGCTTCTAATAAAAGTCATGATCAACACTGTCCAATACATGTAATCCCATGAACCCCAATCCCTATTGTGTTTACAACAAAACTCCACACAGTTTTCGAAGATTCTATCCTCTAATGCATAAAAGTAAACATCAAGTCAAATTCTTAGTTTTCATTATTTATAGAAACTTTGAATTCTCCAGGACAGACCATTGAATCTAAACCTGGCCATTTCTTTTTCTTCCTTTTTTTTCTTTTGTAAGGAAACGCATGCAGAATAATGTTTATGACGACCGTGGCGTTTATGTCGATAAATAAGAAAATAACAGTGGTGACATGAATTTATCATGCTTTCTGCCAACCGTGTTTCAACTCGCATACATGTATTTCAAAGGCATACTCAGTAGATGGCTGTATATTTTGTTTTCCTATCATCTCTGCTGCCCAGAATGTACTGGTGTAGGCAAGGAGATATAACAATACAACTTCTTAGCTCATTGACTGAGTCAGTGTTTTCCATGTGGAACTTCAGGCTAGTAAACAGAATGGACGTGCCAGCATTCATTTCTGATGCTACATTTATGCAGTGTATGTAACACGAGCCAGAAGTCAGCGTCAAAAATCGAAAACTGACAGAAAAAAAGGTACTCTGAAATCATAATCAACAAACAGATAAAAATAATCTGAATCATAAGAAACTTATTGAAATAGAGAGACAAAACAAACAACAACCAGACAAGCCTTGGCGATTTCGATTCGCATCAACCCCATGTACATATCAAACATGAGCTGCTTTGAGAGTTTCTAACTTCTATCGAGCTGTAAAAACAAAACACAACATCGAATTGAAACTGACTGGAAAAGTTACTCTGACATCATCAGTGAATGGATTAAAGATAGCTCTGAATTGAAAGAAATGTGTCCATACCAAGCGTCAAAACAAACAGAAGAAGCTGGTGATTTTGAGTNGTTGTCCTTCACCATTGTAATTCTACAAGGGTTATGATCTTTTAATTAAAGCTAGATCACTTGATATATTTCCAGAATGTACGCCCTTTCAAGACTTCAATCGATGGATAATTTTCTCCTATGAAAATTATCTGTTGAAACTTCCAAGCCCCGCTCCATCTTCACACTCGCAAATCTCCGATGAAGAATAAATAGCTAATAAATGATCTGTTGCAATCCAGCACACCAGTCCGGGTAGGTTCGATTACCAGCTGTCCTTCGAGAGTGGCGGAAAGCGATCCTAGCCCTTAGTGGCTCTTTATGAGCCGAGTATTCCCTTTAGAACAGAGGTTAATTGTCTATTTCGCAACATACTTCTTTGATCATGACCGGGTTTGATGCGCGTACTTTAATGCTCAGGACATTTTCCAAATCACTCTGATTAAAAGTCACGCGAATGGTTAACAATTATTCCACGAGCGCGCGTTCCGTTCCGAGGAGCGAACAGTTTTCCGAGAGCGAGGCTCGAGGAAAATTGTGAGCTTTGAGGAACAGATTATGTCCAAGGACAAACATCTGAGCCTGTTTTCGCGCCAAATGGAGGTTATTGTGTTTATTATCTTTCGAATGTTTTTCGCAACAAGCGTGGTTTGGAAAATTGAGGGAATATCACTCGGAATTCCCCAATTTTAGCTGGGGAATATTCAGACACGTGACGCGTTTAAACCAATCGTGTTCATTCTTCGGAGTCGAAGAGGAACATGTCGACATCACTTGTTGGATGACTGGGTATGATGTGTGCGGAGGAGACTGGTGCGGCCAATCCGGACAAGGAACCCTCTCCCACAGGTTGGGCACATGTGGGTGGGCGTGAGGTGCATTACAATATAACCTAGCACGTATGTGAGGCAGTGGGATATTTTGTAGTTTCAGCTCGATATTACCTCGCATCGTTCTTAGATTATATTGTAAAGATTAAAACTAATCGGGGAAAGGGCTGTTGATCGAACGTCGCGCGACATCGCGCGCGGCTGGACGATTGCTAGCGAGAGAGAGCGAAATGATTTTCTGTTCAGCGGTCATTACCATATTTCACATGTCACTGTATATTTTTAGGGCACAGGCACACAGTGACAACACACGCTCATTTTGCGTGCTATTGGCGGCGAGTGCTTGTGTTTTTTCGTAGTTGATGTCCTTAAATGAAACGAACTGAACAATCGACCAAGATATGCTGAAGTATTTGTTCCGATATCTTTGTTCCTGGAAGTGAAATAAGTAAGATTTCAAACGTGGACCGGATGCTGAATCTTACAAACCCGGTGTCCTCGCTGAGACCTCAACCGAGGCTTGACTCGAAATGGCTGAAGACCGATGTACAGGTTAGGTTGAATCAGATGTGGGAACTTATTTAAAGTAAGGCGAGTTGCTGCCAGTGGGACGTGGCATCTTTCTTGTCGAGCCTGGCAGCTTGTCAACGTAATATTTTCCCAACATCTGTTAGTGAACCGTATGTTGCCCCGGTGCCTGAAAGCACTTATTTTATTCGCTGTGCGTTGTCTGAAATTATCTTACATTGAGGGTTCTGTTTCAGTTTTTGAAGTTTAATTCTTGTAGTTAAGTAATAAAAATGAAATGAGATTTAAACTTATACTCTGGCAGTTTCTCTTTGCATGCATGTGTAGTGTAACTCTTCCGAGTCGTTTGCAGTAAAACGCTTGTGCATTTTAAGATCTTAGATGTACGTTCGCGACTCGTTTATTTATGAAATTGAACGTTTACACTATACACCATTTCACCTTCTTGCACAGGTGCTGAATTTACTTATCGTTCGTGTTATAATGCGCAAATATATACCTTGTCGAATACAGCACATTGTAAGCGATGGGCACATTGTAACCCTGCCAAATTACTTGTATTGCTCTGTCTGTGAAAAAGCATTGTTATGAACAGCATGTAGTTCAGTATCGTTGTCAGTAATTGCCCAATGTGTATCTACATGTACATGTAACCCCCGTCCCATCCTTCCACCCTAATATTCATTTCAGAAAAGTGATTGCAGTCTTACGTCTAATTATGCTATTTAATTGTATTACATGTAATACTTTGCATCCTCCAGATCAAAGACAATTAAGAGGGCAATAAGGCAAAAATAATACAGTTACTGAAAAAACCCTCTCAGCATGGTAGCATTTTGAATACAGTTAAGAAGAACTTATCAAGACTTGAGCCCTCAAGCTGACCCTGTGAGAGAAAATTGAATTTGATGTTATACAATTTAAACTAATACAGAGATTTTCTGTTAGTTAATTAAAAAAAAACAAAAAAACTTGTCAATAATATGTCAGAAAAGTGTCAAAAAATTGTGTGGTGTTCATGAAACCACACGCAGCACTGTAAGCATTTTTCAAGGTTTGATGTTGACTTTGTTGAGAATGCTTGCTTAACCACAGGGTCACTTACAGAAATGAATTAGAGTGAGATGTTTCAAATGGTATTCAAAATGTTACCATGATACAAGTAGATTTTTAGTGAATAATTATTGCTCTTGTTGCTCAAACATAAAGTGGAATAACTCTTTAGTTGTAATAAAGGTGTTACAAGATTGCTACTAACAAAAAACTATATCAACCAGTTACTTTCCTGAAGTAGTTATCAGGAGGCATTGTTTCCAGTTTCATTAATTCAGTTGTAACAGCTAAGTTACACATTTAGTGCTCAATCTTTTAGAAAAGGTTTTTGTGCCCCTCTTCCCCCCAGCATCCCAATTTGATGCACTAGTATAATTTGCTGTGCCAATATTCTTTTTGAATTATTGCAACACTGTACATATAATTCTGCACTTGTGACCATTTTGCAAGTTACCGTTGGTATCAGTCAAATCAGTGTATTTTGTACAGTGTAAGTTTTAAGTCTTGAAATGAAACTCTATACTCATTCCTCTTCCTCTAATTTTTGAGGAAACAGTTTAATCCTCAAGTACACAACATTTGCAATAACAATAGAAACAGTTATAGCAGTGAAGAGTACATGTACAGGTATGTAGATAAGTGCATGTAGATAAGTTTGTTGTTTCTTTGTTTACTCGAATTGAGACTCAAACAACTCAACTTGGGACTCAAACGACTCAAGCTGAAACTCAAGACCTGACTGGATAGTCAGTATATTTGCAGTTTTCAGGTGTTGAGGATCGAGGATCAAGTTGAGTTGGTCAAGTTTAGAGGGACTGTTAACTTATATTTGATCAGTGTTGTACATGCATCATAGTAGAAATTTGTAGAATTGTAGAAACAAAATTTAATATTAATTGAAAAGTAAAAAAAGCAACAACAACAACAACAACAACTCATTGCCCTCAGAGAAATACAGATAAATGAACTAAGGTTAACTGGATATTTTTTTTTCTCTCCCTGCTAGACTGCATTTTTGCCAGATGGGTTAAAAAGACTATGGAATGAACTAGTGAAAGATGGAGAAATTCCTATCAAACCCTCCCATGTTAAGATAAACTGTGATGGTGTTCCTGCCCAAAAGGGAGAAACAGGCAAGTTTTATTGTGGTCGCCGCATTCTGAAATGTACCTGCTGTGATGGGCATTGTGGGCCTGATGGCTGTAACTGTGATCCCTGTCAAAAATTGGACCAAGAAGACAGGGAGCAGAAAGAAGATGATGAAAGAGCCCCTCCAGCAGCAGGTCCGTTGATGGACTCTTGGACTTGGGGTGACCAGCCTAGCACTGAACAGTTAAGAGAGGTGCTACAGGGTCTTATTTTTGAACAAAGAGAGCTTGCTAGCCAAGCAGCAGGCACGACACTCTCTGCTATGAGACTTCAGCAGCGCTTAGCTGTGTTGGGACGGTATTTTGTTGCTCTCTCAAGGGAACGAGAAGCTATTAAAGTTAACAGTGTCAATGTTAAAGGTGCAAAGAAGGAGAAGCAAGGCGCTATCAAAAAGAGGAAAAAACATGGCAGTGCTGAAACAGAGCAGGCTTCACTGGGGTTAGCTCGAATCGGTGCCAGGGCAGCACTTTCATTTGCTTTTGCTTTTTTACGTCGTGCATGGCGATCAGGAGAAGACGCAGACCTGTGTCGTGAACTTCTTGACGAAGCATTAGAAGCTTTGCAGTATCTTCCAGAAGCAACATTATTTGATGAGGGCACAGTATCACCTGTTTGGCTAGAGGTGGTTGAACGTGCGACAAAGTTTTTGCGATCTGTTGTGGCGGGGTAAGTTGAAGATACAATGTGACTGTACTATTTTTTTTCTCTTCCTCTCCATTTTCTTACTTTGACGCTGTTGTGGAGTTTTTCTCAAATGTGTATGCATGTGATAGAACAGGCTGGGGAAATTACATTGTAAAATAGAAACAATTCTTCAGAAACTCTTCAAAATACCTAGACACATTACTGTATGCAGTAATGTGATTAAAGCAAAAGCAGTATGCTGGGAGAGGTACATGTACAGCCTTCCATTGGACTTAAAGTGCACCTAACCCCCCCAATTTTTTTTCGCTAAAATGAATCTAGTTGTTATTTGAAATAGTTCTGCGAAAAAATGTTTGGATTCCGTTAAATCCTCGATTTTCTGTGCCCCGGCGAAATCTCAAAAATAGCCCCAAAACACCACCATTTTGTTTCACGACCGAGTTTGAGGAGAATGGGGCCAGCAGCTCTTGTGACGTCTACCCAGGAAGGTTGGATATCTCACGTCCTCTCATTTCCTTCGGGGTGGTGCAATACACATTCAAAAAGTGCACTGAAACGCCTTCCAGAGGTGCTATCGGCTGTTGCAGCAATATTCCAGATTTAAAGAAAGATATGCTGTACAATTTANGAAAATCGAGGATTCAACCAAATTCAAAAATTTCTTCGCCCAAATGCTTCAAATAAAGTCTAGAAAAAAATTTTGGGGGTTAGGTGCACTTTAATGTTACATGTGTGTATTGTTTTTTTGTATTTGCAATCAGAGTGCTACTCTGTAACGTTAATCATTACGATTTTTTTTCCAAATTTTGTCCCACTAGAAAAGGAAATGAAGACAGAGTTTACTGTAAGCCGCTTGATTCTGTTCCTGTTTCTGACCAACATGTAGCATTGGGAATCTTGCTGGAGCTGGGTGTGCAGCGCGGCACCCTTCAGCACATGCTGGAAGTCATTCTACTGTTGCTAGAGTTATGGGATAGTGGCCAGGATAATGATACTGATTCTTGTTTCACATCAGCTCCTCTTATTCACTTGTTAAGACGGTTTGAGGAAATAACTGGTGCATCGCATAAGAGTTTGGAACCAAACAAGTTGGCTGAAGAGGTAAATATACCATCAGCATAGCAGTTCACACTGTCTAATAATTTGTGTGCAAGCTTGTGACAGTAATGTTTTTGGATCGCACTTCCTGTGGCCATCAAGCCCTGTCTTACACTGTAAGGAAAAAACAAACTATGAAAAACTATTTTAAGAGCCATCTTTTTAAAATCTCTAATGAAATGCCATAGTATTTCTAATTCATTGATTGGCGTATTTAATATACCAATTAAAGAATCGGTAACACTGTGACATTTAATAATTGTTTTTAAAGTATTATTATTATTATTATTATTATTATTATTTTGCACCTTTCAACACCTACAGTACCGTTCAAATGTAAGTTGACAGTCTTGACTCGCAACTCGATCCTCAATACTCGATGCTTTCGAGAATCAAGAATCAAGTTCAAAGCTCGAGTTTCGAGTTTTGAGTTTCAANTACCTGTTAATTTTATTATTTTTATTATATATTTGACAAAAAGTGTTTGTGATTACTATCTGTAGGCTATGTCATCCAGCATGCCAAAAGTGAGTCCCACAGAATCATTCTTGCGATACTTGACTCTTCCAGAAGATGAATCAGAGTTTGTTGAACTGCAGCACTGTGCTGTTGTTTTAGTATCACACTTGGACAGACTTGCTGCTCCTTATCTGCCAGTATCCTCAAATCAAAAGGTACAATCATGCACACATGCTGCTAACTGATCTAATCTACATGTACAATGTATCAACCATGCCCATCTATATTCTCCTCCTCCATCCCATGAATCCATCCAGCAGAAAGTTATACGTGTACAAACAGGTACATTGTACATCATGATGTTACTTTTTGAAATCTTGACCTCTTTATACATTGTACAGTTAAACAAGGGAAGCTCCACAGTCAATGCTTGTACATGTAGTTAAATTTATATGTACAAGCTGCTTTAATTTGAAGAACATCAACATCAATTTTAATAATATTTAACACTCTCTGCATATACATACATCTGCATGTCTTGTACTTACAATTAGTACATACATGTTCATGTTTGTTGTAATAGTCTTTTATTGTCTTCTAGACTCCGAGTGTAGCTCTTGTTCAAGAAGTGTTAGGGTGGGGTTGGCTGTCATGGGGGAATGCTGGCCATACTTTGGGTCCCACAACCTTGGGAAGCCTTGTGGAAATTGGCATTGCTCAGATCTGCTGTGCAGAAAAGTGTTTCTTGGCACTGACAAAAACTGGCAAGGTTTACACTTGTCAGTACACATCAGAGGGACAGGTGAGATGTTCATAATATTTTGATGTCACTAAAACCATTAGACAGCTGCAAGGGCTGGTAATTAAAATTAACCAATCAGAGTGTGTTTTGTTACATTGTGCAGTTGTATTGCTTGATCAATATTTATTACAGTACAGTATATGTTTAAGTATTGGGCAAACATTCCAAACCCATTGAAACATGTTCTATTGCAGTGTTGGAAACTAAATTTTGACAGCACTTATTATTTGGGCGAGCTACTTTCAAAATGCACTTGTCCGGTGAAATTTTTACTTGCCAAGAAAGACGCCTCCCTCTCTCCAAAAAAAGTAACCTGCAATGATTCACCAACCGTATGTTCTCTCTGTCTCATGGAGCCCAGCTTGCCATTTTGTGTTGAGCTTTAAAACCTTGTTCTGACCCATTTTACCAGAAGCTCCTTAGGATCGCGGCCTGACCAATTTTGCTGTTAAATTATTCTTGTTTGTATCATCAACTTTTGATAATGCTTGGAAATATTTTCACATTTCCAAATTCAGATATTTCTCTAAAATCGAGATAGAGGCAGGTGAAGACTGAGGTTTTCAATGGAAAATTATATTAAAAGACCTTAAGCCTAAAGATAACTACAACAGAGGTGCTTTACTTTTCAAAACAGTTCCTATGATGAATCTTCATCAGATTCATTCGTCAGCAAGCAAACATCCTTCTTCCTCATCCTCTTATCACTGCAACGAAGCCTTAGTTCATTTTGTCTAAATTAGTTAGGCATCTTGAAAACTAAAAAAGCTAAAACGAGGTTAAAAAAGCACTGGTCTAGAGATATTCTTGCCAATATAGAAAAAAAAAATAGAGTGTTTTCAATATTCAAGCATAAACAATTTTGCAAAAGTAAAACAGGAGAGTGATCAATGATTTAGAACTCACCCAATGCTTTTCATACTTGCATTGGCGAGCGGGGGAGCGCTAATTTCCTACATGAATGTATAGTTTTATTTTTATGACTTAATAACTAATTTCATCTTTCCAGGGCCCAGTGTTGATTGAATCACTTGCTGGAAAGTGTGAAATAGTCAAGATTGCTACAAACCCAGAATGTAAACACTACATGGCTCTGAGCCGAGAGGGTGAGGTTTACTCCTGGGGATCTGGGGATGGTGGCAAATTGGGACATGGAGATAACAAGTAAGATAGAGCTGTGCTGAAGGAGAAATCTTTGAAAATAATTTTAATTATTTCCCTGAAGTTGTATTTGATTGGACTTCTCTTTCAGCTGCTTTTGATAATAATTATTGTGAGCTTGTTGGTTGTTGTTACAACTGTGGGTTTGAACTGTGAATTACTGATTTTGAAATTAGAAGAGGAAATAAATTTTCAAGTGGTTTATACTGCAAAGCATGTATGAAGAGTTTGTCATATTATTAGTAAACTTTTCCAGGTACACTGTAGAGCAATTCTTACATGGCTGTGTCAAATCCAGGATTTCCAGCCAGTCTGACAATAGCTCTCAGGCCCCACATTTATCTACATTGTACCATTTTGTTCAACAAAAACATTCAGAACATTCACCAAATATACACTGTAAGGACATCATCACATGACTGTACAGTCATGTACATATAGAGTATTTTCACATGATGTCACAGCAGCAACATTGGTGTGCCAAAACAATGAAACAGCTGCCATGTACAGTAGGTGTACCAAATCAATCTTACAGGCCTTATGGGAGTTGAACTCTTTTCTTATGTAAACACTTTCTTTTTTTTCAATGAATTTGCATGGCTGCTGTCCTCATGAGTGAAAATGTGCAATACTGTGGGTACATTTATTATTACAGACTGTGTTTGATTTTCTGTGCATATAGTTTCTGTGATGAGCCGACCCTGATCAGTGGTCTTGCCGGCAAGCAAGTTATTCAGATTGCTTGTGGAAGCACACACAGTGCGGCAGTAACATCTGAGGGAGAACTCTACACTTGGGGCAGGGGAAGCTACGGCAGACTAGGACATGGTAATTTAAATACTGATTAGTACGGTACTTCATTAACATAAAAAAAGACATTTGCAGCTTCACCTCGATTTAAGTGTGTCATTCAGAAATGGGCAAAGCCATTGGCATTTTTACCCTGAAGGCTCAGTTTATTCCTTTAGGCAATATCTTCGGTGTTGACGAAATTCATCCTGAAGAGCAATTGGATTCTTTCATTTCATTTGATCTGGATAAAGGTGGGATATTTTCAGGAAGACTTTTAACCAATTTGAAAAGAAGGAAGACAATAGCTTAATTAAGCTACCTCAAGCTGAACCACTGAATGCATATCCTTTTCTTTAGTATATTGTTTGCAAGTGCATAAATGAATGTATGGAAGGAGGCTGAACATTTTGAGATCTTATTAAACTTTTTGCCTCAAAATGTTAATGTGTGTGATACACACTTAAACCGGCGGGAAGTTGTCATGCAAGTCCTAGGCTTGATAACATTGTTGAAAATCATGGTTTGTACTGCAGCAATACAAAAAGATTGTTACAACTTATTTTGGGTCTATTTCAGAGTCTTAGTCATGTGATTAGATCAAAACAATTTGAGAGCTTATAATTATATCAAGGCTAATTTTGTGTATAAACAATTGAACCAGAATACATTTAATTTATGTATTGTAGCAATCTTCTTTTAGATTGTAATCAACCAAAACTTGGTTTTCAACAATGTTATCATTTTTCTGACTCATCTTCTTTATTTATTTTAGTACTTCTTTATAGTTCAATTTATGCCTGCATCTATCAACTTGGTCACAAACAAAGTGGGGGGTCTCAGAGACCTCACCAAACTTGATGCTCTGTTTTTGGCATTTCATGGTCATTCATCTTGAACTATATTAATGAGTAATTATAATTAATATTGATAATATTACTGGAAAAGGTAATGGTACTCTTGCTTTCCTCAAACGAAATCTACAAGTGAATTCTCAGGACTAAGATCAAGACATTAGCTCATTTTGGCTTAATTCGACCCCTATTAGAATATGCAGCTGCAACAACATGGGATCCGTACATGTACATTTACATCGAAATAAACATCAGGAAAATAGAAATGGTACAGTGACAAGCTGCATGCTTTGTAGTGAAGAATTACAATCATGCTGCTAGTATAGGAGAAATACGTGATCAGCTGGGATGGAAATCACTTCAAAGCAGGAGGAAAGCAATGAGACTCTCTATGTCATTATGTTTTATTAACTGACTAACTGTAAAAACTTGGCCTGTGTTTTACAGGAAGTAGTGAAGACCACCTTGTGCCCATGTTGGTTAGTGGTTTACGTGGACACCATGTCATTGATGTAGCCTGTGGCAGTGGAGATGCACACAGCTTGGCTGTTGCTGATGATGGTAGGTGCATTGCGCAAGTGAGAACTGCTTTGATTGTGACTGGTGATCATTCCCACTTAACTGTAATTGCCATGGGAGAACAGTTATGTGCTTATGACATCTCTTTTTGGAAATTTATGTCTGAAATCTTTGCAGAAAATGATCTTGTAAAGGTCTCCCTCCGCCCCCTCCCCGCCCATATACATGATATATATTTCATTACCCGCAAAAGTTTTGAAACTTTTTTCTACAATTATTATAATATTTATTGTAGAAAAAATTTGCGTAATTATTATGCAGCCTCTAGTGCATTTATTATTAACCTACATATTCATTATAACATTGTTTAGTTTAGGGGTATCCCTAATATTTATGATGACTTTGACATTTTTGAACTTCTTCATTCTCTCCTTTCAAACCAACATTTGCCAAATCTGTCACTTCCTTAGTGTTTGTTCATACAATTTTTGAACCACACAGATCAATAGCTTTCAAATGGTATATCATACGTGGGTATAGGGGTCTATTAATTACATTAAATTGGAAAAAAGCCCTGGCAATTTACAATGTAGGACTGAAAACATTTAAAATGATCCCAGGACTTGTCACCTCATGTAAGTTACAGAAACCTTTAGTCAGGTTTGAGAACCTCCAGTCATTTAAGCATTTTGTGCATTTTCAGGCACTGTCTGGTCATGGGGTGATGGGGATTATGGCAAGCTTGGTCATGGAGGCAGTGATGGCTGCAGAGCTCCTAGGATTATCGACAAACTACAGAGCCTTGGTGTTGTACGTGTCTTCTGTGGATCACAGTTTTCCGTGGCACTGACAAGAGATGGGCAGCTCTTCACTTGGTAAAGAGCTTTGAATGTTTTATTGTTTAGAACTACTGCCACGTATATTACCGTGATAAACTCTAATTCATTACTGTGCTTAACTCCTTGAGTACAGTGCTGCTCAAAATTAAGCTTAACTTACCACTTCTTGTCTTATTTCTTGCTAGATGCATCTCATTAATCTCTCAGAACACTTCATAATTCTCTTGATACATGCCTCAACTCTTGCGAAAATCACCGAAGTGCTTAGCATAGATTATATGACTTATAATTATGTATTACTTACAAAAAGCCTACATGTATATCAAAAGCAATTGCCACTGTGCTATTACTTGTATACGCCTGTAGGGCTCAAAAAAAGTGCCCTAGGGTCACCCTGGACAAGCAAATTTTCCTGCCGGGCAAGTAACTTTTCATTCTCACTTGCCCGATTGGTAAGGGTCCAGGCGAGTCGTCTGCCAAGCAAATAATAGGAAAAGTAAACTAAGACTTGCCTACGGCAAGCAAAATCTGAGAGCTGCTTGTCCGAAGGGCAAGCTGGAATTCAAGTGTTTTTTCGAGCCCTGATAGGTATCAACAAAACGTTTGATCAAATGTGGGATACTGTATATATCGATTCCTCACTCTAGTGAGTAGTCATGTCAAACAAACATACATGTATCAAACGTTTGTACTGCAATGTTCTTAGCACATAACTTTTGTTGTTGCGAGACGTGATATTCTCAACCACAGGTGAGCGAAAACGTAAAGTGATTTTACTCCTGTTCTAAACCAGAAAAATACTCTACGTGAACATTACTGTATATTTTAGGGGTAAAGGAGATGGTAGTCGTCTTGGTCATGTCGGCGAGGATCATGTGCGCTATCCAAAGGTGATCGAAGCATTCTGCGGTAAGAAGATAGTTGACTTTGCTGTTGGTTCATTTCACTGTCTGGCAGTCACAGAGGATGGAGAGTTGTACAGCTGGGGTCGGAATGAACAGGGACAGCTCGGTGACACCTCTTGCACGGCTAGGGCGGAGCCCACTCTTGTATCTACAATAGGTAGCAAAGAAATCACTGGGGTTGCCTGTGGACCTGCCCAGGTAGGTCATGAGTAGGTAATTAACAAGTAGATCTGTGGTCATTTTACCAAATGAGTGTATCTGCTGTGACTAAAATTTAGGTAAGAGGAACAAAAAAAATAATTTGGCCAATAGGGCAGACAGAGAGATACAAGGAGACAGACACGTACATGTATAAAATAATCACAGGCTTGACCTCAGTATTGCATTTTCGCGTCATTAGCGTGCGCACAAGAGCGTGTGCGCGATCACAACGTAACAGATTTCCCTCAAGCTAAGCATGATAGTAAAATAAATGCTTGTTTTCTCTTAAGCGAGCATGGTGACCTATATTTTTTATTACATAATTTTGGTGTAAAAAAATAAAGAAAAAATTGTTCGGCAGCTTTTATTTTTGAGGAATCACCTTAATGGGTGAAAGGACGGTCATACAATGTAAAGTATATGTACATGAACATAATTTCATGGTAAGACTATATGATAGCTATGTGAATCAATCTTTCGTAATTTCCTAGAGCTTTGCCTGGTCATCAGCTGGTCACTGGAATGTTGGGCTCCGGCTTCCTTTCTGTCTGGATGTATGTAAGAAGACATTTGAACATCTTGACGCACTGCTGCGGCGTGTGAGTGAAGATCTGACAGGAGCTTTAGACTGGCCCCCTCCCCCACAGGAGAAGGAATGCATTGCTGTGGCAACTTTGAATCTGTTGAGACTTCAGGTTGGCGATGGCAACTATGTTATGGTCACGGAAAGAAAAAACATTCAATGTTTATGTGTAACTAATCCCTTTCTCTAAATAAATGCTGTCTCTAATGGTATGGGGTGGGGTGGAGAGTTGAAATATTGGCCAAAATTCTCAGTACCGGGTGTTCATTCTCTGTGTAGAATGGATCCTGTTAAATGAAAAAGAGTACAAATACAAACTTTCAGGCATAGTTTGACTGACTGAATATATGTTCTAATCTCTTTTATTTCCATCGACAGCTCCATGCTGCCATCACCGGAAACGTAGACGCGGAAGATTTAGGTCTTGGAGTAGGAAGTAAGCTTCTTCAGTCACTCAAACAACAGGTGGTCACATTAGCCAGTAACAAAGGAGTCCTGAAGACTGTGCAATCAGCAGCACAAGGGGCCCTCAGGAATGGCTGGGTTTTGCTTCTGCCTACACCAGAGGAACGAGCAAGGGCTTTAACAGAGCTACTGATTGAAGGTAAGTGACTTGAAATCAACATCACATCAATGCCTTTCATAGTCTGATGTACAAGTACTTTTCTTCTGATTGGAATAAAATCAAAAAGTAACATTTTCTGTCTCACTGACCATGCTAGCAAATTAGTATCGGTTAGCAGATAGTGACGAGGGAAATGAAGAAATTATTTCTTGATGTCACGAGTACACAACAATGTGCAGTGATTCGCTCCTATGATTGAAGGTGATTTGGAAGATTAGCCCACCTGGGATCAAAGTTGTCAGATTTATTTGCACTAGAGTATACACGGTTCGTTGCGTCCGTGGTTACATCGTAGTCAACTGAAATTGAAATAACTGCGAGATAAATTACTATTTACAACATTCTCAGTTGAAGCGACAAACGATTTCGAGACTTACAATTATTTTGTGTTCCTGAGTCGTTAGATCCCTTTGATCGCTATCTTGATCCTTACGCTTACGACTGTTGATGACTTGACTTCGAATACCGTTACATGATAAACTGGTCCTTTTAAAACTTAAGTCACATGACCTATTTTTCCGGCTCGCGTAGACGAGGCGATTTCGCAATTACGGACGATAATGAATTCTAATTCTTTGCTACACGCGACTGAACATGCAAATCATGCAGGTATACCCATTTGATGGCTTTGATTGCCTCATACACTGCAGGTGACAAATTAAGCCCCCCCCCCACCCCCCCTTGTCTTTTTTTTTTTTTGTATCGAGAAGTTACGTTCCAGATGTTGCCATACATGTAGCTATTTAACAATTTCACATGTGAAATTATAGATAATATCAAGGCTGAAATTTTGCGCCAAAATTAAGGAGTAATTTGTTGCAACTCGCTGTCTTTTTCATTTGGACGATGATCAACAGCTTGTGACAAGCCAGCATCTTCACCAGCTGGTAAGAAGTTTATGTCAGACCTACTAATCAACAGCTTGATGGCAGAAGGGAGTCTGGAATCAGCCCTGGAGACAGCCATTGACAATGAAATCAAGGAAGGTGCTGGAGAAAACGACAAAGAAAAAACTACGGAAAGCAAGGACATCATTGCTGATGTACCCCTCCTTCACCTTACCCAGCAGCTGCTGAAGACATCATCCACACAAGTGCTAAGTGAATTTCAACAGTTATTTCTCAAGCCACCTACTTTACAATGGCCCTATACCCCTCCACCACGTCCCATGACAGTCGAGTTACTGCTCAAGTTACAGAGGCTTGTTATCGGCAGCTTTTTCCTACATCATGAAAATGAAAGACCTTGGTATTTGATTAAAGGTTAGTTAGGGGTGTCCCAAGCAATGTGGGAGCAATGTTCTGAAGCTTAGTCTTCACTACGGACGAGATAAGCGCACGCGCAAGCATAAGCATAACGATAGTGAGGACGCCCAGAACACAGGACTAACATAAACACGTAGGCATGCGTATACCTCCAACCTCCTCCATACAGTAAAACGAGGTGACCGACTTAAGCTTATGCTTGTGCTTTTGCTTATACTTACATGTACAGCAGGGTACAAGAAAAACCAAACTTTTGTTCTGCTCGTGCTTGTGCTTATACTTGTTTTCCGCGTCCCCACTACCGTTATGCTTATTTTTTGTTTCTTTTCTTTTTCTTTTTCTTTTTTTTTTTTTTTTAAGATTTTTAAAAAAATCCTTATTGGCCATGGGAATGTAGTAAAAAGAAAAAAACGAAAACAGAAACAAAGAAAAAGAAAGAGAAGATAATAATTCCCAAAAGGGAAAGCGCGAACGGTACGAGAGTACCCATGCGAGGCGCTTCCCAGAATGATATATAAATAAGCTATTTACAAGGCATATAATATGTCTTGCACTTGTACTTTTCTCGTAGTGAAAACCAGGTTTAATATGAACGCTTTCTTTTTTTTTTCCATAAATTTACATGGCTGCTGGTGGCTGCTGGCCACGGGAGTGAAAAAGCTCTATACTACACTATTTGTAATACTACAAGTATTATTGCTTTCCAAGGTGAAGAAAGAGCCCTGAGTTCCAAGCAACAAGGTGCTGCATTACTGCTGCATAAGTATGCCACTTTGCTTTGTACCCATGCTGGGGAGATCCTCCCAGTAGCCTCATCACTAGCGTCAAATGGTCCTCGCCATTTTGTCGTCTCTTCCCAAATAATCCAGCGAGAACTAACGGGAGTGTTATTGCCTGAATTTCTGACTGCCATGGTCCTGCTCCAGACCTGCATGCCAAGTATTATGGACTCATCAAGGACAGTTCCTCTTATCAGTGGCCTGCTTGACCTGTTAGACAAGTTTAACAGGCTTGCTCCTGGGGTGCAGAAAGAAGATGAGGAGGATCTGGCCTGGCCTGGTGGTATAGGCAGTCCAACGCCGGCTCGCAGGAGAGCTGATGGTGACATCACGTTCATTAGGCCTGAAGATCTGGAAAATCACAATAAGGATGGTGGACTGTGGGTTGTTATTCATGGTAAAGTGTACGATCTTCAAGATTTCAAGGATCAAGTAAGTAAAACTGCACTAGACTGCTTAGTTATGCATGCGTCTTTTGACAACGCAGTACTACACGCGTTTTACGCGCGCGGTGTAAGTGCAGCAATCCCTTTGACCGGTACTATACATATACAGAGAGTATCGCCACAATGTTTGTCAGCATACATCAATGAAGTGGTTCTGTTCCACTCATTATGTTACCATTGCTGTAATCCTTATTTGTTACTAGTGGCAGTGACTGTCTGCTGTGACAGATTGTTGACTTAGCATGATGTTTTATTTCAGGCTCCTTGTGGAAAGGAACTGCTGCAATCATATGCAGGTGAGCATTCCTAACAGTTAATCTGCATGTACATCCAATTGTCAACTCTAGTAAATGTAAATGTTATTAACTAGAATAATAGTTTTAATTCGTTCTTTTTAATTATCCATTTTCTTCAAGTAGCTTCTGATGCAACTCAAATATTTGAGGAAACCAAACATTCGGTAGAAGCAAGGGAAATGATGCAAGCATTCTTTGTCGGTATTTTCGTGGAGGTGAGTCAAATAAAGGCACATTTAAACGGATCAGTTTTACGTTTTTTCTGTTTTATTTGTTATCCATCTGTGTCTTCCTAAATGATTGTAATATAGCTAAGGAGAATAATCTGCTTGTGTCGCTTTTATGTATCATCATACTTTGTTTACACGTTCGTCACACACACCGTGATGGCATTCAGTTTCCCGAGAGAATCTTAGAGATTTTTGTTTTAGCGCGGTTTTCACTTGATGGTTGAACGAAAGTAATTAGAATTTGCTTTAGTGTTTTTTTATTGCTGCGCTAAGCGACACGCTTAAGTTTACTGAGTGTTATAGCGGGCTTTGCGAATTAAAAGTGAAACAAAAACCAATCGTGACTGGCTCGTGCACAGACGTTTTTGCGTGTTTCGCGTCCACAACAGGTATTTATTTACCTGGAATTTTGATTGGTTCACTGGATCGCCTCTGTCCTTTCTGATTCAGGCCAGAATGGTTTATTTTGTTTTGGTTTTACAACACACAATTGAAAACTGCTCTAGAGAAGTGATCACGAAACCGACATTACTCAGTCCCAGTACGTCTAAAGTTCATTGTACTTGTACCACAGGCTTACATGCATGTTATGATCTTTTTCAGCCTGATCAAGAACTCGCCCTGGACAGTGCCTTGTCAGTGTCATCTCCATTAATTGACTGCGAGCGTACCCTGGGTCTCTTACTGGGACTGTACGCCTGTCACTTGGCTCACAGCACGCCTGTTACTGCTGAAGAAGAAGAGAACGAGAGATGGCTAGCCTCAGATTTCTTCTCAGGTGGAATGGAAACTTCCGCCGCACCAGTAGGTGGCAATGTTGGAAGGTAAGTTCTACCAGACGGTGAGAAATGTTTCTTCACATTTTGGCACAGACTTGTCGCACATATTATTTGAAAGGGTGGAAAATAATTAAAAACTCGCCATTTGTAATGCTTGTGTTACAATTTAAATGTTTTGATGTCCTCTATTTGTAATTTTATCACTACCTTAATGTTCTTTAACTAGTGTTCTGTTATTAAATGTTTTCATTGTTTTTTCAGGAAAGAAAAAGAATCTTCCGAAGACAAGAGTGAACCCTTTACACGTCAGATTTCACACGGTGATCCTGCTAAACCATTCCTGCAGGCCCTTACTGAAAGCAAGCTGGAGGACGAGACAGCTTTGAAGTTCCTCGCTGCTGTTGAACGGTTCTGCAAACAAAAGCGGTTTGTTCTGCCGATAGAGTTCCCTGCTGATCATCCTGTAGAGAAGGTGGGAAGAATGCTCATGGCGTGCTTATTGAAACATCAAGAGCTTGGTAAGTTTATGATGCGACTATTACCACAGTCGATGGCTCAAGCAGTGTCCACACTACGCCGAAGAAATTTGAAAACGCGGCTTTATTTCTACGGAGANGTGATCGTAATGAATTCACATTCGCCGGCAAAATAGGCACTCTATCCCTAAAGAAGGATAAGTAAAAAACTTTGTAAAAGGCATACAGTGAGCTGGAGAAGGAATTTGCTGGCGTCGCTGAAGGGGAGGTGGGTGGGGAAACTTGCTTTTGCCGTCGAGTAGAGTAGACTTGTGAGAATAGCGAGATTTGCATGCAATGGGCGTGTATACAATGTTAGGTTCTGGGAATCATACAGGGGGCCTAAATGACCAATTGGGTGTAAACGTAGATATCAGATTTAAGGGTCTAGAACAAAGCCAGCGTAGATACGCGAGACGATCGTTGAGTACCACTAACGGACGGTCGCCCCGTCCTTAAAAAGGTGCTTTAGCTTTCTCTGCTAGCGCTGGGACAATAAAAATTGACACCTCATGGTTGCGTTCAGAAGGACTTGTTAGAAATGGTAATTTGTTTGTAAGACTAATCGTAACATTCCCGTTCTGTAGCAATGCCGTTCCACACTGCTCAGCCGATGTTGGTCTCATTCCACCGTATGATCGCGTGATCTTAGAAACAGCTTTCCGAAGAATAAACAGCTGGGCCATCAACACGCTGCGTGAAGCTATCATCTATGCTGATGATACCTTCAAGAAGGCTGAAACAAGACCTAATACCACCCCAGACGATTTCCACGGGGGCTTATCCCTGGGTGCCCTGCCTGTGGCACGTTTTCTCTTGGCAACACTGGGTATCTTGACAGCAGAGCATAACGCTAGTGACATGAGCCTGATATTGAACTCGGGCGCCATCGGTCTGACCCAGACAATCATGCGCTTAGCAGGACCGTGTGAAGCCACTGAGGAAGAGGACTCTTCTTTAGCTGCGATCATTGATGAGCCTAAGGCTGCCAAGAAAGTGCCATCTGCACCCATGACGGGGCCGGACGTGGCCAAGAGAATGAAGATTGGAACCCGAGTGGTGCGAGGTCCTGACTGGAAATGGGGCGACCAGGTACCATACCTAACAATGTCTTACCTACATGTACCTACTGATTTATGTTCAGTATTGTTATCTAAGCTAAGAAAAAATAGCAGTAAAAATATCATCCTTGTTGCCCTCAGGACGGGCCGCCACCCAGTGAGGGCCGTGTTATAGCGGAGCTCGGAGAAGATGGCTGGGTGCGTATTCAGTGGGACACAGGCAGCACCAACTCCTATCGCATGGGCAAGGAAGGGAAGTATGACCTGAAGTTAGCAGGCCCTCCTCCTGTACCAGAAAGCAGTGAAGAAGAGGAAGAAGATATGAAAGGTAGAGGAGCTATTGCAAAGTATATTGTTCTTAACATGTTCTTTATCTTTCTACGCACTTAAAACGAAAAAAGGCTCCATTTCCCCTGATCTATTGCTACAAATACGTGAAGAGAATTAAGCATTATGTGTATTCATTTCTGTCCGTTCGGCTTTCTGGAAATTTCCCGTGTTACCTGAATGATTACATCTATATTATCCCTTCCCAGATGATTCCAAGAAAGAGAAAACGGAGATCCAGTCCATTCATCCGACAGCTCTGATTCGCCACTCGTGCGTGTGTTTATTACAAGCTCTAGCAATCGGCTGTGGTCTCCATGCCAACAGCGTGCAAATCGAGAGTGTCAGAACGGTCAGCAGTCTCTTGCATAATCTTTTGGACGCAGGCACAAGTGGTATGTATCCATCAAAACCTGCCGCGGGTAACATCTTTCGTAAAAGTAGCCTCTTCCAAAATGAACGCCTGGTGGAGGCGACCGTAAATGAGACGTCTGAAATTCGACCAGAGCTATGGAAATTAGAGAAATTAAAGTGTAAAACAGAACGGCTGAATGTTCCGCTTAAAAAATGAGGATAACTTTTGTAAATGAAAAGCAATTTCAGTTTCTGTTTTGTTCGCAATTTGAAACGTTCTTCTCATTAACGAAAAAATGATACAGTTACACACACAGTCTCCAATAGTTAGAGACAACTTTGATGCGGTTTACGTTTCCTATAACGCGGGTTTGTCTATTTCTGGGCCTTAGCGAACTGAGTAAGCTTAATGAAGCTTGACATTTTAGTTAAAGTTAGAATACACATGGGATCTGAATCTTTTCCAGTCAACAGCTAAGAAACCAAGTAGTTTTCGATTATGATTTAGTTTTCTTTCCTCCCTTTCGAAAGGTCATATCGGCGCCATCGTGATGGCCCAGCAGCACAGGGACTGGGCCAAGCTTGGGTTCATCCGGGGTATCGCCGTCTCTCCAGTCATGTGTTGTTCCCTCAGTACCTCCCAGTGGGTTTGTCTGCTCCTTAGGGTGGTGCGGGGATCACTTCCCGATGACGACTCACTACCACCCATTGTGTCTGCTGTGCACCTTCCTCGACAGGTAACGTATTACTCGCAAAAGTAAGCGATAATGAGCTCATTAGATTCCGAAAATTTGCTTCGCTATATCCAGTTTTCTCCGAGAATTTGGTTCCATTTATCCGACATTTTCCGAGAATATTGTTCCTTTCGTGTGATTGTCTCTGAAACTCTGCCTCGTTACGCCCAATGTTCTCCGAAAATTGTTTTTCCTATATCCAATGTTTTCCGAAAATTTGGTTCCTAATATCCGAAGTTCTCCGAAAGTTCTTTGACAATTGATGTTTTTTTTGGACAATTTTGTTCGTCATATCTGATATTCTTCGAAAATCGAATTCGTCACTAACTTACACCTGATGTTCTGACCTCTGACAATCTGACTCTTTGTATCCGATTTTCTCCAACAGCTTGGCTCGTGTCTGATGTTTTCCGAAAATGTGCTTTATCATATCGGATGTTTTCCGAAAATGTGCTTCGTTATATCCGATGTTTCCCGAAAATTTCTTTCATTATACCGCCGTTTAAATCTAAGGATGAGCGCGTCCCAAAAACAAAATGATCTAAATGAGTTTCAACCTTTGCGGCATGATTCGTCATCAATTATTTGAATTTTGTCAGATCAGCTACGCGAACTGGTCGACACTTTAAGTTGTGGCCGGGTTAACCTGATGCACGTGTTGTTTTCCTAAGTTTGCTTGGGTTTAATTTGTATGACCGAGCAGCCGCACGCATTATCTCGTCCTTATTCTTTTGTTTTCAAAGATCTTGGCGTTACGCTTGTTGAGAGCTGTTTTACCTTCATGGGATGTGACCAAGGATTCTTGCAGGATGTCAGAAGTAGTGGCTAGTCTGTTCGCTTTACTCGGTAGAGTCTTGATGACCTGTTATGGAAGCCTTCCCATTCAACCTCCGTCAGGTATGTCAAAAAATTATTTTTGCTTGATCGCATATTGTGCTGTGTTCTACCTTACCAGACAAATGCTACCTCAGAGACTGTTTGTATTGTATTGTATTTCGTTCAGTATGTAAGGCTAGCTATCTTGTTTTATATTAAATCTGCTAGCGTTCTATCAGGGATATATGCCGTCCTCTTGGCTATGATACTCACCATCTCTTCTGCTGTATATAGTGAGTAGCCTCGACGTTTGGGGTTATTAACATAGTGGCGGCCACTTTTTGGCGTTTTGTAAGTGTTGTGAACCTGTTTCGTTCTTTAAGTTTTGAACAACTAGCAGATTAATGTACTACTGTAAAACAGTTAGATGTTTGCTCTCGATTTCTATGCGTGATAGCTGACTCGGGCTGCGGCCTCCTCAACTATCATAAGATAGAAACCTCGAGCTCATAATCTTATTATTAATTAAATTTGTAGCACAGACCGAAAAATGTTTTAGTCCATGATTTGAAGTTTTCGTTTGGAAACCTTGATTTTCTTCTACTTTCAGGAGAGAAAAGCCGGAAGAGTAAGCGGAAGCCGAGAATCCCAGCCTCAGTATCAGCTACATACAGCAGCACTGTAGCAGAGGAATTACTAGCCCTTCTACGGAAGCTTCATACCTTGGAGGCCTGGAACCCACTTGTTAACGAGTTCATTAGTGCTCAACTGAAGAGTATTGTTACTATGGTAACGACCGTCAAGCCACTTCAAGAAGAACAAGTCACACAGGTTTGTTTTCTCTAGAACTAAATGTGTATTAGTACTTAAAAGTCCTTTGTGCGATGTTGAAGTTGAAAGGGCAGGTTATACTCTCAGTTTCTGTTTAAAAATGCTTTGGAATAATTCGGTTTGAGGTCAAGAGTACTTCGCGTGTTCAGAACCAATGTATTTTTTTCGCGCTTGTTATAGTGCTTGGTTTAACGTTGTTTTGGTGGTTGTCAACACGCTAGTCAACTTGAAGACATACAACTTATAGGCTGTTTCGCAAAATGCCTTTCATTCATAGGGAAACACCGCAAAATTTAAATCCTAATTGAGGATATCTGAAAGCTTATTAAAAAGATACTTTTCGTAGTTTCTTTTTTTCTTTTTCTTTCTTTTTTTTCTTTTTTTGTTTTTTTGTTTTTGTTTTTGTTTTTTTTTGTTTTTGTTTTTGTTTGTTTTTTTGTTTTTTTAAGTTTATTGTTCTATGTTTATTTCTCTCCTCCAGGAAGCAGATGAATCATCTCAGGAGCCTGTGGACCAGGGCCCAGTGATGGCCGTATTAGCGGTTATCGGTGGCGTGGACAGCAGGCCCAGACTTGGGGGACTGGTGCAGCACAAGGAGTGGGGACTGGGTACAGTGTGTAGAATCGCTCCGAATGGAAAAGTTACTGTACAGTGCGAGGGACAGCAGAAGGCGAAAATATGCTCTATATCACAAGTTAAACCGGTAAAGAACAGTTTTCTTCGAATTTAGGTTGGAAATGAGTTTGATATGCAAGGTAACGAGCTTGCCAGTGGAACACATTTCCATAGGAAAGGTTATGTACCAGGAATCTTTCTGAAACAGAGGAAAAGGGCAATAGCAAATGACCTATTTCATCCTTGTTTTCTTTTGCTGACACTTAAAAATTCTTTCGATCGATCGAAAGGTAATTCTCTACATCGCAAGAGAAGAACCTCGGGCTTACTCTCAATACGTAACCTTTTCCAAATTTGCTACAGCGGGCAATTGACCTTTATGAACATCAGGTTGCTTATCAACCAAGTGATTTTCATATTTTAGGTACCTGTCGTCCCATTTTCTGTGGACAACCTTCCCATGTCGGATGCAGCTCTAGGGATCTGGGCCTCACTCGTTAGACTCGCGGGAACTGGAAAGAAGACTGTTGAAGTGGATCAGGAGAACTTCCAGCTACCAGCAGTGCCAGGGGAGGAGGGGGTGGGGACTTCAAGGTGTCCTCCGGTTAGACCACTCCTCTCCCCTAAACAAGGAGGTTTGTGCATAGTATTACTCAGTTAACTTTGTCAAATATTTCTTGTTATTTGTGTTGCTGTTTGTTTTATTTTAGTACCCTGTTGCTGTTGTTGTTATTGTTGTTATTGTTTTCTCTCGTCCCTCGCTACAAGCAATATTCTTACGATTTCGGTTGCGTTTTATTTTTTTTTTTTTTTTTTTTTTTTATGATCAATGGTAAGTCAAAACTCTGAAACTTCAATAAAATCTTCGCTAATAGTTTAGCTCTGCGGTCCTTAACAACCAGCCTCGCAACTGTTTTGCTTGGATTTCATATAAACATGCTAACCCCTGACCTCTGCGTTTTGGCTAGTTGTATTGTCACTTTTGCCAAGTGGATTGTTTTGTTATAAAATTTTCACCTAATCACTCTTAAGGAGATAAAAAATTAATGTTGATTTTCATGCAGGTGAAATTGTGGACACATCACAGTTGAGACAACAGCAGATCACTCTTGGACTCTTGAAAGCTGCCCGTGTACTGTGCAGCAGACAAGATAACCTGAGACAGATCCTGAGTCATCAAGCAAGCAGCTCGGATGGCAGCAGTACTTTCTCTTTACAACACCTCATGTGTTCAGCTATTAAACCCTCGCCTATCAAGGCGCTTTTTGACAGAGAAGAGTTAGAGGTACGTATATCGGCATTGAATGTATAATCATAGAAACCGGTCAAAGGAGAAACATGAAATCACGCTATATATGCACGGAAGATACTCAAGTTTCGCATACGCAAGGAAGATACTCAGGTTTCTGTATACTCAAGTTTCTACATGCATGGAAGGTACTCAAGTTTCGCATACGTATAGCGTAAACCATGAGGAGCTTTGAATGAGCTCCTACGGTGGTCTTACATGTACGTAACTATGTTAAATTTTGCGCTCTATTCCTGTGTAACCAGGCCGCTGCTCTCGCCGCTTGCCAGTTCCTTGCCAACGAAGCCAGCCGTCCAGCCGAGCCTCCTACACCGGCCATACCAGAAAATGGTCATGGGCCCGAGCAAGAGAAGCTTCGTCCCCAGTCCACCTCCAAGAAGCCTTCAAAATCTAAACACCTACAGAAAAAGAAGGCACGCACGCGAAGACCCACCCCACCCCCACTGCCAACTCCGCCATTAATTCAACAGCTTGTGGAGATGGGATTCTCACGAAGCCGGGCAGAGTATGCGTTGAAAGAGCTGGCCGAGGAGGAGGAACCTCGGGCTGAGTTAGTCGTGGCGTGGCTTATCGATCATCCTGACATTGAGGTAAGGGTATATTCTCTGTGTGCTCAAACAATGCCAATGACGACACCGATCTCCCGCTGAGTCATTAAGCGCATAGTATTTTACAGTCGGGGAATAAGTACGTTTGTGGATGCACGTAGTTTGCAGTTGAACAGAATGTTGTCCTTATTAGGTTCCCGAGGGTGAAGAACGCCAGGTCGTGCCNAGTATTTTACAGTCGGGGAATAAGTACGTTTGTGGATGCACGTAGTTTGCAGTTGAACAGAATGTTGTCCTTATTAGGTTCCCGAGGGTGAAGAACGCCAGGTCGTGCCGCCAGAGTTAACATCTAGTGACGACTCCTCGGACGTAGATGATGATGACAGCGATGCGGTGTCCAGTAGCGATTCAGAGAGTAGCTCCAGTGAGGGAGAAGCTATAGCTGTACCCACCGACTTCAAGAGGCGTAGTGACTTTTCAAGTACCGATGATTATGCGAGGTACGTGCGAGATAACGTTCAGGTCGGCATGATGGTGCGGTGCTGCAGGACGTATGAGGAGGTTCATGAAGGAGACATAGGCAGGGTCATCAAGGTGAGAACATCATCTAAATCTATTATGAGGTTTCGTCAGGCTGTAATCATAATTGTAGCACGTGGTCTTTGTAAGCTGCCTGTATAAGTCATGGTAATAGGACTGAGGTGCAGTCCAATTCGGTCGGTTATCATACGAGTGATAACAAAATCGGACGACCGCGCAGCGGGAGTCCGATTTGTTTATCACGAGTATAATTACAGACGGAATTGGACGACACGAAGTCTTATTGCCAATTAATCATAAAAATTACAACTTCCGAGAAAGGAAGAATAGCCAACTTATGAAAGAAAGGGAAAATTTGCATTAAAATACCTACAAAGGAGATGTAAACATTCTAAGACCACCGCGCCTCCTACCGGCAATCAGGCGCCAAAAACACAAAAGCGCACGCACGCACGCACGTAACTACAACTTTGAATGTGATTGGTTGATTTAAACTACAACTTTGAATNNTTTTTTATACCAATCACAATCGAGGAAATTGTCATTTTTATGATAATGAATATTATAGCGTCATTCCTCTTCCTGAAGATGCAGAAGTCATACCGAATCGTGTCTTTAAAAACAAGTTGAAGTTACAATATTTACAGAAGAAAAACTACATTTTCATGCGGATCCTCTACCCAGGTCGAACTGGAATTAGAAGTGTTGACTTCCTGAGGTACCCGGAGAAAAACCCTTTAGAGCAAGGCTAGAACCAACAACAAATTGAACTCACGGAATCGAACCTGGGCCAGATTATAGGGAGGCAAGCACTCTCGCCACTGCGCCATTTCTCCTTCTGATTTGTCTCATTGTTTCTTTCAGCTCGACCGTGACGGCCTTCACGATCTTAATGTGCAAGGTGACTGGCAGAAGAAGAACGGTACTTACTGGGTCAGATATGTGCACGTGGAGTTGTTAGGTCATGACTCTTTTGGTAAGACAAAAAAAAGTTATTGACCGTCTGATAACCTATGGGAAAATCGGACTAGTTGTGTTTCATTCGTTGCTATTGATAAGTGGAATCTCGACCTCTCGTACGCTCGATTTTTCGAACCTCCCGAACACTAGAACAGGAAAATTGTACTTGTTTTCCTGACTAATTGTTGCTGTCGGTTGTTTTCAGCCCGGCGTGAGATGGTCAAAGTTGGCGATCGTGTGCGTGTCAAACCTTCTGTGACCACGCCCAAGTACAAGTGGGGATCCGTGAATCACGGGAGTGTAGGCACAGTCGTGTCCATCAGTCCTAATGGTAAAGATGTCAAGGTTGACTTCCCACAACAAACAAACTGGACAGGGCTGATCTCCGAGATGGAGGTTGTTCCTGCTACTCACCCTCGTACCAGGTCAGATAATTTATCGTTCTGGACTTTGTCGTTTTTTTTTTTGGAGGGGGGGGGG